CCTGGGGCAGAGCACCTGGGGTGCTGCCGGGTTGCTCCAGTAGTGCCCAGAGCAGCGCTACTGGACCAACCAGCAGCACCCCAGCTGCTGTACCACAGGCGTCCGGAGCAAAGCCGCGGAGCATGGAGGCAGTGGGACAGCCGCGGCGCGTCTGGGCTGTCCGCTCCCCGGCTTTGCTCCCCGTTTCCCTGGTCTGGGGAGATGTGGAGCAAAGCTGCGGAGCACATGGGCAGCAGACAGCCCAGATGCCCTGCGGCTGTCTCGCTGCCGGCGTCCTCAGAGGCTTTGCTTCCCGTCTCCCTAGTCTGCTTGCCTTGAGCAGAGCAGGGAGACAGGCAGCAAACCCTGTTCGTAACTGCGCAGCTGACGTAAGTCGGATCCGCATAATTCGGGGACTGCCTGTAGTGCAGCCAAAATCATGAATGCCTCCTTGTTATAGTGATAGAAATGTAGCTGTGTTAGTCTGGGGTAGTTGAAGCAAAATGCAGGACAATGTAGCACTTTAAAGACTAACAAGATGGCAGGGTTTTGTTTTTGTTTTGTGTGTGTCTGTGTGTAAAGAACAGGATTCTGTCAAGCATCGGGAGATTTACAGGGATTTATAATTTAGCTGCAAAAGTTTGCTTCATGATCAATCTTGACTCAAAAGAACTTGAAACAAAAATTATTTTTCTTTGAAAAATTTAAAACCGATTATGAATGTCTGGGTTAAACAAGTGTAAAATGTTGGCCTTTTGTGGCTCTCACTTTAAAATAGCTTTTATAAAATAATTTTGCATATAATGGGATAATGGAATACAATCTAATCCCTTTGGGATTAAGAAAGCCCAAAGTTTTAAAGATTAAAAAAAAAAGGTATGCAAAGCACAGGACTTTTTTCCTGTTGTACATTTTCATGAGGATTTCTTTTATAAAGTATTAGAAGACTTACCCATCATTGCCCAGGTCCAGAGTTGGCCTTAGGGCAGTGCAGGGCAGTGGGGGCTGTGCCGCGCACCTGCTGTCTTCTCCCTGGGGCCAGTCCAGGAAGGTGGGTGAAGGAACAGAAGTTCAACACCGTATCGATCCAAGCACGAGGGTTTATTATGTACAGAGCTGGACGAGTGTCACTTCACATGTTAGACTTAGTGAAACTGTCAAACAATGGATTACTATAGATTATATATGGTGCCAGTGGGAGGACAGAAGGGACTGGGTGGGAGTTCCTGTGCCCGTGGATAGGTTCAGGTTTACATGTATGCTAATAAACAGGTGTTGTGGCTTAAGTGTCATTTTGCAGAAAATAGATTAAATCCTGATTTCAGGTCCATAGAAATGACAGGGTCATTCATAAGCAGGGCTTCCTGAACCACACTGAGCCCCCGCTCGCCAGCTGCATTGTCCGGCGATCTGCGCATGCACAGATCGCCTGAACCCAGCTCTTCCGGGTTGCACTCTACTTGCCACAGGTGAGAAGATTGCACTATTTATCGAGCCCTCTTCATAAGTATAGCTATCTGTTATCACACCCCTCCCTTTCCGTTTGAGGCAAAATAAATCCCTTTCCATGCACATCCCATTGTACTGGCACAACCAAACCCTGACCTTGCTTTTAGTCATAAGAGGAAGCTGTTTGCTGTTCCTAGCTCTTGCTGTTTAGAGGAGTTCTTGAACAAACAGCCTCACAGACAGATTGATGAACACAGACAGAAAGATGCACAAACTCTAAAATATATAGTAAGATGAGTAACTCAGAGGACACCATTCATTAAACAGTTCAGTTGACTACATCGATTTCTGATATAACTCAGTTGATTTGAGTAAAATTACAAAACCCACCGTAAAATAATTTTTCCTCTGTATTGTAGGAGTTCTTCTGTATCAGTCAGTACGTTCATGCATCTTAACTTGTCTTGCTTCTTGAAAAGGCTTCTTCTTTTTTCTTCACTCTTACACATGTTCTTTACTTTATTTTCCCCTGTTTGATTTCCCAAATAATTGTTGGAAGCCTTTTAACATCATCATCGTCCCCACTAATCATACAGCCTGGATCCAGCAGTTCCCTGTGATCTGTGAATAAAAGAGGCTCTTCTCTCATGAATACTTCCCATGCAGAAAAAGGGCTTTAATCACCTCTGCAGCAGTATTCCCCCCCTTCCTCTAGAGCTGTACAGAGGGAAGAAAACAGGCATTATGTGGGCTGGTCAGTATTAGGACTAGGGGAGTCAAGTGTGATCCTCTACCAACCAGACAGCTCAGGGCAGAAATGCAATGCAGTGAGAGGCTAAATTGTATGTCTGCTCTCACTGCTCTGCCACTGGACCGTCTTTAAGTGGGGCATGATAGGAAGCTGTGATGTGATAGGATAGGTCCACTGGAGCAAGGAGAGTTATCAAAGATGCAACAGCAGCATAGAAGCTGGAGTCTCCTGATAGGCCTCCCTGACTTTCTGCTGAGGCCTCTTAAGAAATGGAAGAAAAGCAAGTAATGGAATCAGAATCATACTTATGACCGCTTGCCTAGCACCAGTGTCAAAGCGCTGTCGTTACTGTGTACTCATTCCTTGAACAATCTTTGTGTCTGCACTGTGCTTAGCACAGTGGGGGCCCTGACGTGACTAAGACCTCTAGGTACTACCACAATACTGTATAAACAAACTAATACTCTAAATCTTTACTGCATATGTTTTCTATTAAGTTTCCCCACCCTGTTTAGCTCCTGGTTCCAGGCAGTCAAGTTCTCCTGTCAGTCATACACATGACATGTAACCAAACTGAAATCCCTGGTGCAAGAGTGTGGAGAATCTGGTCTAGAACCCTAGGCCTTGGTTACAGAGCATTTTTTCTTTTTGAGTGAACATGACTCCAGTTACCCTCTTAGCCTGTTTTTATCTTGTCTGACTCAGGATCTACTTGCACTCCTCATTTTGGCAGATGCTGGCAGACAGAAACAAAGCCCAACATGACACAATTCCATAAGATGATTTGCCTAGAGGAGCAATCTCCCAATGGCTATGTTACCAAACAAAATTATCTATCCTATACCATTTTAGCACCTCTTTTCTTACTATTTAAAATTATTCTTTCCTCCTTTGTCTGTTGTTCTTCTGAAAGGCTGAAAGCCATTATGTCCTCCACGCCTCCTTCTTGCTATTTACAACTAGTAGTAGTTCATGCATGTACTTCATAGTTTACCTACAAGTCTTTTTGCTTTTCAGTTAAAGCTTTTGCGCAGGGTCAATTCATAGTGAGAGAGGGTTTGAGAGAGTTTGTCGGTCTGTGAATAAGAGTCTTTCTGTCTGTTCGTTCAACAACTCCTTTTAAATGGTAAGAGCTAGGACCATGAACATTGGTATACAGCTTCCTCTTATAACTTAAAGCAAGGCAAAGCTTTGCTTGTGTGAGGGGGTAGGAGTGGGGTTGGAGCAGGGTGAGAAGTGAAGCGCCCCTCCTCCCCGTTACATATGGAGATGCATAAAGCCATACAAAAAAGAGAATCACTAGGCAGATCAACAGGACTGGTTAGAGGTCCTCCCCCATCCAGGACTGCTCCAGCTCTGAGCCCCCCAGGCACCCTTTGGGGAATGGCAGCTCCCCCCATGTTCACACAGGAACATTGCTGGCTGTTCCCCTTCATTAGGGAGTGAGGGGAAAGTGCACATTTTGCTCCATTTCTCAATCTGGCTGGGGAGTGCAGAAGGCCAGATGAACTTGGACCTGCCCCTTCTCCAGCTGTGCCCACTTCAGCTGCAGCAGCCATGGAGAGGTGCATCTCACATGCCTGCAAGCTACTGCAGTGAGAGGACTGGGGTAGCCCTCTCTACCCAGGGAAGCCTGAAAAATGTAACAATTTGAGTTAAAGTTTACTGTGTAAATCATCTAGTACACTCTATTTTGGAATCTGCCAACTTGTGCTCTAGAATCTAAGTTATTAAAAGCTAAGGTCTGACAAATGTGACAGGGTCAGGACAGGGGGGTACCCCAGAACCAGCAGGAAGCTGGTAGAATCAGAGTAATCAGGCCAATTAAAACACCTGGAACCAATTAGGAGGCTTTCAGATTCGAGAGACTTGGCTAATCAGAACACCTGGGGGGGCCTATTATGAAAGAGCCAGTTGAGAATGATTTTAAAAGGTTTCCCTTCTGTTTGTTCAGTGTGCAGGGAAGGAGCTGATGAGAACACTAAACTAGCCCCCCATCACACACCATGTCCAGAGGCTTGGCAAGGCTGTTGACCTGCCTACTAGCAAAAGACGGATCCGTTGCTGCTTGCTGCTACTACTCCACTATCTCAACACTCCTCCATCAGACATCCCAATGAAACATGCAATCTGATACACCTAACACAGCATGATGCAGTCTTGCTAGAAACAGAGCAGGAGACCCTTTGTTGGGAATAGAATATGAAACACGCTATTTGAAATAAACATTTCAGAGGTTCCCCTCAGTAAAGAAAAAGAATAGTACCACCCATTGCACAGGGTTGTCTCACGGTCAGAGCAGGACATTAGTCGTCAGAAGATCTGTTTCTATTCCCACTATCAGTGACAGCTAATTCACTGCGTGACCTTGGCATTGTCAGTTAGGTCCACATTTCACATGTGCCTGCTAATTCTGTATAGTTCATTCCCAAGTGCTCAACCCATGATTTTTAAGAAGTGCGTTACACCATTAACCCTAGTTGAAGTAAGTAAAAAAACTTGTCGTGTGCGCTCTCTTTTTAAATGGAAATGCAGGTTGTACCTCCGAAGACTGGCATTCTCTGGTCTGGCAACATCTGTCGTCTGGCAGGACTACGGATACTCCTGGACCATAAACAGGGAACCAAAGGGCAGGAGGGTCAGCCAGGGCAGTGGAAAACAAGGTCGGTAACTTAGCTTGAGGCAGAGTGGAATCTTCTGGCATCTCTGGGAATGTGAGCTGGAGCCCCATGGCAGCTTGCAGCTTGTGTCAGCATGGGACCAAAGCCCTGCGGCGGCCCCTGGAAATGTGAGGCTGGAGCCAGAACCACAAGGCAGCACTGGGTCGGAGTCTTCTGGCAGCTCCCAGAAGCCTGGGGCCAGAGCCCCGAAGGAGATGGGGAGGCTGGGCCTGGAGCCCTGAAGCAGCCCCTGGGAATGCCGGGCTAGGCGGGAGCCTTGCAGTACCCTATAGCAAGTGGGGCCAAAGCCCTGTGGCAGAAGCTGGATCCTGTGTTGCCCAGGGAGCTGACAGCAGCTGGGCAAGCAGCCCAGCATGGGCTTGGGGGCTGGTTGCAGACCTCCCCTGGTCCAGCAAATTCTCTTGTTCAGGACCAATCAAGTCCTGACAGTGCTGGATCAGGAAGATCCAACCTGTACTAATATTCATTCATCTTTGTAAAAAGTGTCTTGAAACCATAGGAGAAAGTGCTACATAATATCATGTGGATAGCCTGTGCTGTTTTATAGATGTAAAAAGGCCAAACATGTCTGTGGATCCCTTTGTAATATTTTCTGGATGTTAAAGATTGGGATTATGGCTTGCCCCTGCACAGGAATGCAGTGCGGGTTTTGGAGAGGAGATTTCTCATGTTCTCACATGGATCTTGCACACATTGACAAATCAAGTCAGAATTTGGCTATATACCAATTATAATCACTTACTTGGGGAAAGGGATGAAATGGTTCATGGAAAGATAATAAATGAAAATAGAAGTAGGTATGTTTTAGGGATAAAATGTTTTTTAAACTAATTACGCAGTAACATTAAGTGTGTACAAATTACCACTTGCTGGGCTATTTTTATAACTTTAATTAACTCCACGACAGGTACAGTAACAATAGCTGAGTTCAAGCAAATTTATTCATTCCTAATTTACTGGAATGAAAGAATGACAGGTAGATACACTGGACAAAAAGCAAAGTTCTGCCATTCTTTAAAATTTTCACTGATGTCAACATTAAGGAAGAGTTTTGCTTGATTAATAACTTCAGTAAGTAGCAGAAGAAAATTATGTACCATAGTGTATACTCAGTTGATGTAATTTTTGTTGTCCTGCTGATTTCAGATGAGGTGGTAGGGTGAAGTTTGGGTGAAATCCCATTGAAGCTGTAGGTATAACAGCTGCTCTTCTTTCCAGATAAATGTTGTTGACAAATTGTATAGTCAACTAATTGACTACACTTTGGGTCAAATATACTCAAGAGAACAAATAATCAATGCCAGTCACGTTTACTGATATAATAACAAGGTTCATGATAGCAATCTATAAGATGTCATCTTGTGCAGTGATGTTATATTCCCTTTATACAGGTATGTTCCAAAAGTTGCACATTTCAGCTGCTGTTAGCTATACTAGCCAATTAGCCTATCATAAGACAGGATTTTCATGTCTCTCCTTCACAGCTGCTGAGCCTCTGGCATGGTGGGGTGGGTGGGTGTGTCCTCCTCCTGCCTTCCCCTTGCTCTCTTTCAGCTCTCCTCTGCCTCCTGCCTCTCACTGCCTTTGCTCTCTTTCAGCTCTCCTCTGCCTCCTGCCTCTTACTGCCTCGCCCTCTTTTGCTTCCTGCTGTGGCTCTCACTGATTTCTGTGCTGCTCAGCCGGGCTGCTGTGGGGGAGCTGCACTCCCCATGCAGCCCGGGCAAGCCAGAGGGAACAGCCAGCATTTTGGCATTACAGACTCTCAGACACTGGGCGCGCGCGCGTGCGCGTGCTCTCTCTCTATATATATCGATATCTATATATATTGATATCTATCTCTATATATTAAAAAAAAAAATAGCAGCGAGGAGTCCTGTGGCACCTTATAGACTAACTGAAGTGTTGGAGCATAAGCTTTCATGGGCAAAGACCCACTTTGTCAGATGTATCGTCACTTTTGCAGATTCAGACTAACACAGCTACTCCTCTGATACATAGATAGATAGATATGATGATTTTAAGAGGTACACATCTCTATAAACATCATTAAAATCAACCAATCATCAGAGGTGCTACAACTCTTTTGTGCTACTGCATCCCTTGGCTTAAAATAGTTTTAATCACAAATAGGGTTTACAGTTTGGCACCACCACTATGCAAACTATTCCAGTACCCTTACCACCCGTGTGCTCCAATTCTCTAACTTGTTGTTCTGTTTCTTCCTTACCTTTGTCAGGTTACTAGAGTTCTATGCATTGGCTAATGGAAATACTTCCCTAGCTTCTACTATGACCTAGGAACCGTGTCAGACTGGAGATACATTTGTTGTATCTGCTTAAGTCAAATACTTACCTTAGCATGTACAGGGTTATGGGATAGTTAGCAGAAGTGAACAGGATTATGGTACAGGCCAGTTTAAGCTATATCATAGTTACAGTATTTGTGCTTACCTCATCCTGGGGTACTATGACATTGAGGCATGTCCTGCATGGAGTGATCTTGAGCAGTTGCACCGAATAATACAGAATAAGGCACAATGGATTGACGATTCCTAGGAGAAGGAAAACTGCTGGGGCAGACAGCTTGCTAAGCCCTTTTAGCGTGGCTAATGCAGACATACCCTTGTAGGGTTGTAGAGGGCTGTCTGGCCTAGCCCTTCAGTGAGCTTCTCCTTCACCAGCTAGGGAGCACAGTTGTGGTGGGGTGGGGATGTAAGGGGATCTGGATGCTTCCGCTCCACTGGGTCCCAGCCTAGGGCCCTGATGGCGCAGAGAGTTTTCGTTGCCTGCTCGACAGGATGCCTGCTGGACCATGCTGAGCTCTTGGAGATCAACCCTCCACTCTGGGCTCCTTCCTGTCCCCTCCAACGTGGTAAGCCTTCCTCTTCAGGCTGCTCCCTGGGTCAGTTCCAGTCTGACAATCTACTTATCCAGCGCTGTTGCTGAGGCTGTGGCTGGCGCTGCTCCTCTGTTGGCTGTGGTAGCTGGTGCAGTTCAGGAGTTCCTCCCTGAGCTCGTGCCCCTCTGGCTATCTCTCCAGACTGACTGCTTGCCTGGGGTTTTTGTCCCCAGCCTCACTCTTGACCATGCCCAGCAAGGCTGTGGGACTAGTTCAGCCAACTGGGCCAGAGGTGCTCCTGGGGCTTCGGGGGGGGTAGTACTGCCCCATCACATCCTCTTTGTCAATCCTATGAGGGGGGATGCACTTATTGTTGCAGACTGTGACTATTAGGCCACACTGCCTGGGAGAGGGGCATTGTTATGGACTCCAATTGCTAGGCCATGCTGCCATGAACCATGATCCTGAGAGAGGGGTGTTATGCTTATAAGCACACTGGATCTTTTTCAGGGGAGAAGGCAATGCACCACATTTACTGAAAATACAGTAGAGAAGCAATTAGCATATCCTTTATAAAAAAACATACACACAGATCCTACGGATGGTGCATAGATACTAGTCTGTCATAGATCAAGTCAGTCTTACTGGCCCGGCAAGGCTGACTGAGTGAGGAGTTGGGGTTTTTAGATCATAATTCGAGGGTCCTCCGAGGCTTGGCTTGCAAGACTGAACCCAGAGTCCCAGGGCAAGAACTTCTCTTCTTATACGTGTAAGTTCCCATTGGCATCTGGGTTTTGCAGTGTCATGCTGCAATCATCCACCCATAGGAGGTATTAATCTATGTTCTTTTGATGGTGATTGTCAGGGTTCCCATCATTGTGTATCTCTCTTCATGAGGTCTCTGCCTGTCTCCAGGGATCATCAATGCTGCTAATTCAATTCCTCCTCAAGACACAATGGATGTTGCTTTATGTTCAAAGTTTCCACTTCTTCTTGATTACCTGGGCATCACCCTCCACTCACACCACACAACTGTATAGAGTTTGACAAGATCAATATTTACAAGGAGTATAACTTAATTTGCAATACTCAACAGGGAGCAAGCCCTTGCAGTGAGCATTATCTAATCATGAGAGATGCAGAGAGAGAAACAGAAGCTACAGAACTTATAAGCAAGTCATTACATCAAATTCTTATGCATCATACTTACAATCTAATAATTATAACCAATATTAAAATATACATTTTTGATACAGGGGCATTGTCACAGACTCTGACTGCAGGAGAGGTGCATTAGGTCACACTGCCTGGCTGGAGACAGGTGTCACTATAGACTCTGGCCAATAGGCTGTCCTGCCCTGAGAGAGGAGGGCATTGTTATTGCCCTGTGGGAAAAGAGCATAGACCAGGGGTCAGCAACATTTCAGAAGTGGTGTGCCAAGATTTAACTTATTCACTTCTATTTTCCAGATCTGTGTGCTGGAAAGGAGAAGGGAGAGGGGGGCCAAGGGCAAGTGGGGTACGTTGACCATATTTTCTGAACCAGCTGCAGCTAGGGAGAACAGTTTAATTTAAATGATTAAACAGGTTAAGAGTTTTAACTTTCTCATGTTTGTTTATCAAACTTCATTTTAAATAAAGTAAAATTATGAATTTGTCCAACACAAAAGGTTTCAATTTTGTCTTTATTTATAGCAGGGGTGGGGAACCTTTTTTGGGTTGGGGCCACTGACACACATTAAAATCAGTTGGGGATCAGACAAGTGAAAAGCAAAAAACTCCTCAAAACCTCCCAACCCTCGCTGATGTGGCCTCCAATTGAGACACCTCACTCCTCAGGCACTCCAGCCCCACAGGGCAAGGGGAAGGAACAGGGAAGACTAAGGTCCAGGGCTTTGTATTGGCCAGCTTTACTTTTCTGGGGTTCTCAAGTTAGTGGATTTTATGGACCCCCTTGAGGCTGGGGACAAAAATGAGGGGTTCAGTGTGTGGGATAGGATGGGGTGCAGGATCTCAGAGGAAGGTGAGGTGCAGAAAGGGGAGAGGTGGTTAGGTCTGGGTGGGTGGTAGGGTGCAGAAGCAGCTGGGAGTAGGGTGTCTGGCCAAGCAGTGGGAGCAGGAGCAAAGAAGGGTGCAGGAGACCTCAACCAGACATCAACTTTTAATAGCTTCGTACTTGAAGAGATTCCTCAGTGGGCTAATGATTAACAGCTGGTTGTACTGCTAACACTTGGTTAGGTGTAAAAAGTTGTCAAGCAGATGAAATTTGGAAAAGCACGTGGCAGTAACGTGATCCCATCAGAGACTTATAAAGCTGGTGGTGGCCAGCTAATTCACTGTCTTGCTCATTTATTTATCACCTTTTGGGAGAAAAAAGTAGTCCCCAGGACTTCAAAGATGCCTTGTAAACATATACAAGAGAAAAAGTGATTGTACATGCTGTGATGACCACTGGGGCATCTCGCTGCTGGCTATAGCTGTTAAGATCCTGGCCTGCATCCTCTAAAAACAGCTGTCATTACATGCATTCACAAATGGCATAATTCCTAAAAGTCAGTGTGGATTTTGTGCCAGTTGAGGCACTGCCTACATGATATTCACAGCCAGGCAGATCCAAGAAAAATGCAGAGTGACATCATGTGATTTTCATCAACCTGACCAAGGCATTCAACGTGGTCAAAAGAAACAGGCTTTGGAAGATACTTGGGCAAATTGGCTGTCCTGAAAAAATTATATAATATGGTCCTTTCATGCTGGGGCATGTCCTTAACACTGGAGAGACATCATCACCTTGTGAAGTATCAAATGGTACAAAGCAAGGAAGTATCTGCTCCTCTCGTGTTCAGCATCTACTTTTCGATGGTGCTGTTAGTTGCTTTCAAGGACTGCATGTTGGGGATGGTACCATTTTCAGCCTCCAAAGACTAGGCTTGCACCAAAGTGTTCACTACATCCATGGTCTCCTGTTTGCTGATGACTGTGTATTGCTGGCTGTCATGTTACTGGATTTTAAGGGGAGCAGCCAGATCACTGATGCACCCACGGGGGGGTATTTGCCCCAAAGTATATACAAAGGGGGCCATGTGAGGTGTCACGGGAAAGCTTATGTTCTGCTGATTCTGTATATGCTATTCATATATTTATATGATATTTGTATGTGGAGTTATAAACATGTACTCTGTATGGATGCTGGAAAATTCTCTGTCTGTGGCTGAGCAATGGGCAAGGAAAGCTCAGCCTATGGCTATGCTAATTAGCAAGGAGACAATGAATCTCTAGGTGCCAATACACATCTCAGGAATGTGACTGATACCTAAAGGCTACCAGCATGTAACACAGGGATAGGCCACTGACCAGGTGACCTGCTGCAGTCAAGAAGATGCCAGGGGAGGTATATAAGTGCCATGTGGCATCCTCCATCTTGGTCTTCAGCACAGCTCTTGATCCCAGAGGCAGCCTTCCAGGGAACTGTGACAGGGGACCTGACCCCTGCACTGAAAGCTGCCTGGCTGCGGTGGCAAGCTGCCCAGGCGCAGCAGCAGCCGGCATACCAAGCAGCGACCGCCGGGCTGACTGCACAGGTGTGGTGGTGCCTGAGCCTGAATCCGAGGGCCTTAGGACCCCAAGGTGTCTGGCCATTTCCGACGCCGGGATGTGCCATGACGCTGCGCGGGGAATACAAGAGAGAGGGCAGGAAGAGGGGGAGAGCAGGAGCTGTCTATTCTCTCAACCCCCACTGG